TTCTATTCTATTCTATTCTATTCTATTCTATTCTATTCTATTCTATTTTTTATTCCATTCCATTCTGTATTCTATATTCCATTCCATTCCATATTTTCTATTCTATTCTATTCTATTCTATTCTATTCTATTCTATTCTATTCTATTCTATTCTATTCTATTCTATTCTATTCTGAGACCTTTTAAGCAGGCTTCAAAGCATCTTCTATTCTGTCCTGCATCTGGACGGTTGAAAATCAACTGAAGGGATTCCTGCCATTTTAAAAACGTGTTTGATTTATAATAAGCTTAGGGTGGCTTAAAAAAAAACAACCCAGCATCCACCCCCACCCAAACTTGAAAAAATGTTTCAGAAAACCTTGGTTTCCCTGATTTCTGTAACGTGATCCTAACCACATTATTATCATTTGCTGCTTCCCCTATAACATTGATCACTCTCCCCAAACGTTGTCTGTTCTAACGAATCTGAAATGCTGCTTTGGCTTTTATGAGCATTTCCTTTTCCCCATCTGCCTGCCTTATTCTGCCCCTACCGTTTTTACCCATAATGCCCCTTCATCTTCATTTTCTCATCATCCCCCATGGTGTATTGCTCCGTCTGCACCCACGAGGGCCTTCAGTCATGATGCTTTTTTGGATTTGGGCTGCCCTTTCTGCTGTTGTAGGGCTAATGTTGTATCCCCTTTATACCATAAACATGGCTTCCTGAGCTTTGACTGTCACGTTTTTCTTATCTGGGCCTTTCTGTTGTCGGATGGGGGCTAATCATCCGTTCCCCTTTTAATGCCAGGTCGATGGCTCTGGAGTCAGTCGCACAGTGTGGAGCCGATGCCTTTCAGGAAGTCCGAGTTCAGTCCCTTGTGGTCGAATTCCTCCTCACCAATGTTCAGGTTCTCTTCAGCGACACCTTCACCTCCATTGGCAAGGACAGCACAGGTACCTCAAGAAACAGCGAAGGCTTCCACGGTTGCTTAGAACTCTTCATGTATTAACTGCAGCTAGAGGATAGTATTTGCTCAAAATTGGAAAAAGTGAAAAGATTCCAATAGAAGGGAGAATGTGATCAAGAAAATATTAAAAAGTGCAGAAATGAACAGACTAACAATGACAATTAAAGAAAAAAAGAACAAACTGAATATTACACGATACGGGGATTATTTTGTCAATGGTTGGAAAATAAAGATGGAAGTTAGAAATTAAATAAAAGAATATAGAGGAGAAGGAAGCAAAAAGAGGATGGCCATTATGATAAGATATATCGTGTTAGGTTAAAATAAGAATGTAATTATTGTTTTGGTAAGAAATTCGTATTAATTAGAAATATTATCGCAAAAGATATTTGTATCCAGACGACACACTGTTTAAATGAAAGATGGAATGTTTGTAAAAATAATATATACCAGTAGTGCTAACGTTTTTGGTCTCCTGTGCCAAAAATTGTGAGCGCACGTGCGTGCCAGCACCCAGAAGGCGATGTGTTCCCCCCACATGCCACCTTACCTACACTGCTCATCACAGTTGATTTTCGGCTGGTTTGAGGCCTTTTTCGGCCTCACAGAGGCTTTAGAAAGGCTTCTGCAGGCTTCTGCAGGCTTTTCAGGACGAAAACTAGGCCCGTTTCGTCATTTCCGGTATTTCTGGAAAAACAGGAAGTTATGAAACGGGCCTAGTTTTTGGCCTGAAAAGCCTGCAGAAGCCTTCCTAAAGCCTCTGGGAGGCCAAAAAAAGGCCTCAAATCGGCCAAAATCAACTGTGAGGCGCGTGCATGCGCAGCAAGGTAAGTTTGTCTGCAGCTCGCATGCCAGCACAAATGGCTCTGCGGGCCACCTATATATTTGTTTGTTTTCTTAACGACGAACACAATACAGAAGCCTGATGATGGACTTCAGTTCCCAGAGTTCCCCATTGCCAGCATGCTGCTCAGTGGATTCTGGGAGTTGAAGTCCACATATTTCAATATCGCTAAGGCAGGGAAACAATCTTTTTGAGCTTTGTGAAGGGTTTTCAAATGATCTTCCACTTAAACTTTCCAAATGACAATACTAAGGATGTACTGGCTGCAATTCATGCAGCTTCTAAGCTGCAACTTCTAAGCTGCAACCTACGATTAAACAAATGCCTCTGGTCCAGGGCTGAGTCATGTGTTAGTCTTCATTCTCCTTGTAGGAGGATTTTTTTAAATCAGCAGGTGAATAATCATTTCTGTGGGTTTCGCTTTTCTGTTTTTAAACTCACGAAACATTTAAAAAATACTTGGCAAATTATTCATTTTTTTTTAAGGGAGGGAGAGGGGTGTGTTAGTGATGGCACATGATCCAGGCAATCATTTCCAAAATGGTCTTTCCATCATCCCAATCGAAACATGGATCAGGCAGTCCTTGATTTATAATCCTTGATTTTGTCCCATAAAATGGGACAAAATTCACTCAACAACCAATTGAGCCCAAAATTTCTGTTAAGCGAAACCATTGTTAAGTGAGTTCTGACCTCATTTTACAACCTTTCTTGCCACAGTTGGTAAGGGAACCACTGCAGTGGATAAGCTAGTAACCCGGTTGTTAAGTGAATCTGGCCTTCCCCATTGTCTTTGCTCGTCAGAAGGTCACAAAAGGGGATCTTGGGACACAGCAATGGTCATAAGTATGAACCCGTTGCCGAGCCTCTGAATTTTGATCACATGATCATGGGGGGGGGAATGCTACAAAGTTTCTAACTCTGAAAAATGGGCATAAGTTACTTTCTTCGATGCCGTTGTAACTTGGAACGGTCACTAAATCAACTTGTTGAAAGTCGAGGAATAACTGAGCTAAACTGCAGAGCTGAGGAATCCTTGCCTCTGAAATAGAATAAATAAACACCGCGTGATGTCTCTCTTGGGACGTTCCAGCCCAATTCTGATGGTGCACCATGATTTTTTTACACCGCTATACTATCCTCTGTCTCCTTTAACAGGGCGTTGCTTCCTTTCTCGACCCAAGTCCCAGTTGGTCAGCTGCCCTTCCACCCGCTTGTTATCTCTCGAAGAAGCCCAAGCACGCACCCAGGCCCTCTGCAAGATCACCAAGCTGGAAGCCAGGCGTGGATCTCCAGATCCACAGGATCAAGGGAAGCTCTCTGCTGTTTTGGGATCACCTAATACCAGGTAAGTGCTGTATCCATGGGTTGAGGCAGAAGTGGGGGGAACGATGGCCCTTTTATGACTTGTGGACTTCAACTCCCAGAATTCCTGAGCCGGCACCTGGCTCAGGAATTCTGGGAGTTGAAGTCCATAAGTCATAAAGGGCCCATAGTTCCTCACCCCTGATCTAGATACTAGGAGCTGGAGAAGATTTTAAAGATTAAAGTCCAATTGAAACTAGAGATGCTTCTTTGGAGACTAATGAATAGGCAGCTAGAAAAATGAATGGAACTTTGTCCTTGTCTATGACAACTGCAGTGAGGTTATTGTATCCTCCAAAGTGGGGAAGTTTGACCACAACAGAGGAATAGTTGGTGAAGATGATGGAGCTTGCAGAGATGGTTCAATTGACGCCTTTGATTAGAGAAAGAACAATATGTACATTTATGGCTGACTGGAAGCCCTTTATAGACTTTTTTGCATGAAACAGGAAAAATGCACTTATGATTTGTGGTTTTGATGGTTAGAAAATATATATATATATAAAACAGAAAAAGTGAGTTAAGAATAAGAGATAATTTTATAATCAGAACTTACTGTATGTTTGCTGTAAAGAAAATTGGAAGCTTTTTTCTATTGTTATGTTTTTTTTCTTTTTCTTCCTTTGTTTTCCTCATGTCTCTATTAGGTTGTTACTTTTTAATGTGCTCTTTGCAATTTGTAATAAAAATTATATTAAAATGAAGATACTAGGCACTGGGATCTAATTACAGTCAATTTATTAATATTTGCTGTTGAAAGACTACGGTGATTTAGGGACACAGTTCTCATGTTTTCATGAAAGGCCATTATCAGATTGTTATACATGCAATGAATGGATAATACATATAGCTCTCGACTTGCAAACAGTTCATTTAGTGACTGTTTGAACAGCACTGAAAAATAATAATTTATGACTGTTTTTCACACTTAACGACCATTGGGGCATCCCCATGGTTATGTGATCAAACTTCAGATGCTTGGCAACGTGACTCATATTTATGACGGTTGCAGTATCCCAAAGTCACGTGGATCCCTTCTGATGACTTTCTAACAAGCAAAGTCAATTGGGAATTCACTTAACAACCGTATTGTTAATTTATCAGCTGCAGTTTAACAGCTTAACAATTGTGTCAAGAAAGATCGTAAAATGGAATAAAACTCATTTAACCAATGTCTCACTTAGCAACCGGAATTTGGAGCTCAATTGTGGTCATAAGTCAAGGACTACCTGTACTGGGGATCCTTTCCTCCCTCCCTCACCAAGAACCACGGTGAAAAATTCCAGCCCTTTCTGGGAATTAGCAGTCAACTTCAGTTGTCTGATTGGGAACAGGATCTGAGCTGCTTTAGTTGTTGGGGCTGATTGCTGTAAGACAGGGGTGTCAAACTCAAGGTCCGGGGCCCGGATTTGGCCTGCAAGATGCTTACATCTGACCCACAAGGCTGCCCTGGAAATAGCGAAGGACCGGCACACGATGCCTCTGCCAGCGAGGGCCAGCAACAGCCCTCCCGAGCTCCGTTTTTGCTGACAGAGGGTTGCAGGAGGCCGACACAGCCGAAAACAGAGCTTGGGAGTCCGTTTTCGGTGGCAGAGTGCTTGGACCACCACAGGTGCCCCTGACATGAGTGACGTTGAGCTGGCCATGCCCACACTGGCCACGGCCACCCCGGGCCCCCAAGGTAAAATACAACCCTGATGAAATGAAATCGAGTTGGACACCCCTACTCTAAGTTGACCTCTCACTTTGTAGGCAAAAGACAGAAAACAATGGGAAGCTGCGGAAGATATCTGGACCTAGTTGGAAGACGTTCTTTGCCATCGGCAAGGCCCCCGTTCCGTTCCGCAAAAAATCACACCGATTGGGAGAACTTTTTGGGCTTGGAGAATCTTTACCAGGTAGGAAAACTACTTTATGCGCTATTTTTTAAAAACCCTCTTAATATCACAAGCGCATACATCTTTTTAGCCTACTAAGTGTGGCTGAACTACGACTCCCAGAATCCCTGTCAATGAACTACGACTCCCGGAATCCCTGTCAATGGCTAATGGTAAGGAATGCTGGGACTCGCAGTTAAGCCATGGAGTGGGGGGGGGAGACCACGTGCTTTTTACCCTCTGGTTAAACATTTACTCAAATTACAATCATTTATTTAGTGACCATTCTAAGTTACGACTGAAAAAAAGTGACTTATGACCAGTTTTTCTACACCTACGATCATTGCAGCATCCCCTGGTCATTTAATCACAATTCAGGCGGCTTGATGATTGTCTCGTATTTATGATGGTTGTAGTGGCCTGAGTCACACGATCACCTTTTGCAACTGCTTGACACTCAAAGTCAATGTGGAAGCCAGCGTCACTTAACAACTGTGTTACTTAACAGCTGTGGCCAAAAAGGTCATAAAATGGGACAAAATTCACTCAACAACTGTCTCCCTTAGCAAAAGAAATGTTGGGTTCAATTGTGGTCATACGTTGAGGACTATCTGATGCTCAATGCTAGGATTTCACCATAAGCTGGACTAAACAAGGTGTAAGGCCTAGACTCTCTCTCCCCTTCATAAGATAAGAACTTTTGTAAACTGGGTATTTCAAAAGGAATTCTTTATTGAAAAGGAAGTTATCCAGGTGATAGTCAAAGCAGGGTCTAATATGCCTCCAGGCATGCAGCATAGATAAAGGGAGTAAGAACCCCTCCCCTTAGTCTGATGTGGATTTTGTCAATAGGAAGAAGTAACATGTTAATTCCCCCCTCCTTTTTTTTCTGGGAACGTAGTTGGGAAAGCATTTCCCAGGAAGTTTCTTTCAGAGCTGGAATTTTTATGGCCCCTTCTCCTCTTGCTATCTCTCTAAGAGGTGACAAGTCTCTAGGCATCTGGGCTCCAGTCCCCCAGTTGCATATCATGTGCAAGTTATACAGATTCAATACAAGAATTAAGATATTCAGGTTACATCAAAAAGGATTATTTGTACCAACCTCCCCCACCTCGCCGTCTTCTTCCATTGAAGAATGGCAGATACACGGATCTGACACAAGTATAAAATGGACTTGGCTTGTTTGTGGCTCAGTGTGTTGTGAAAATAGAATAGAATTAACAGAATTGGAAGGGACCTTGGAGGTCTTCTAGTCCAACCCCCTGCCTAGGCAGGAAGCCCTACATCACTTCATACAAATGGTTATCCAACATCTTTTTTTAAACTTCCAGGGTTGGAGCATTTACAACTTCTGGAGGCAAGCTGTTCCACTGATCAATTGTTCTAACTGTCAGGAAATTTCTCCTTAGTTCTAGGTTGCTCCTCTCCTCGATTATTTTATTTATTTATTTGATTTGTCAATCACTTACAAGATAATAGGTATAAGTATAAACATGAGTAAGAATACAGGAAATAAATGGGGACAATAGGACAGGGACGGTAGGCACGATTATGCACATGCCACGCCCCTTACAGACCTCTTAGGAATGAGGTGAGGTCAATAGTAGATAATTAAGTTGTTCACTTTTTTTTAAACCTTAGAACCCTCAATTCCAAAAAGATTTATCTGTTTGGACATGGCATATTGTTTGAATACAGCATTCCTGTGTTTTTTTTAACCTGTGGGTTTCACGCATTTGTGTCAATTTAGTCATTGTGACAGAGTTTTGATATGAGCAGAATGCAAGGGAACCAGATAAGCAGTATATCCCGTTATCTTTTTCTGGATATTAAACGGGCAAGGTTTTTGGTCCATGGATTCAAGGTCAAGGAGAGATTGCAAACTTCTGGCCTTTTTTTAGAGGGATAACCCTCACCTGTTTCTTTGTCCTCTTTCTCTGTAGGGAGCCGTGGTGAGACGGTCACCTTGCGATCTGCCAAAAGTGAAGAATCTTTAACATCTCAGGCTAGTCTAACAGGTAATGGGCCCCTTTTGTCTGTTGAACCCCTGTGATTTTGCTCTTATCAAAATGGATTGCATGAACTTAAGGTGACCCTCACAGAATATTTCTTCAAAGCACT